ATGGGAAGGTTGGCAATATTTTTTTTAGAAAGAAGGGAGGAAATTTTTTTTCTTTTGTAATGTTTTTTTTTCTGGACTTGTAGCTCTAGTTAATTGTGCTACAAACTGTTCAATGACTGGCTTTCTTTCCATGTAGACTGTTGTTTTTAGTTTTGTCCTCTGTTTTATAAATCCACATAATCTCTATTCTCTCTTTTACACATCAGACGCGTTTCTGATTGTCTACAGCTCCAATAGACAGAGAAAAAAAAGACCGATTCGTTAGATATAGCGAGAACGTACGGACCTTCACAAAACGGTTCAAATTCAAAATTTGCGAAATTTTCACATTTTCAGGACGTATACAACGCATTGCCGCTCAGGTTCGGTCAACTGACCCAAGATATTCGTTCTCTTTCTTTTGTCTATATTGAGCTTCCAGAATTATCGCAACAATTGAATTTGTATTGTGCAACCCGAGGTGCGACGTAGTCAATAGGATTGCGTAACGCAGATTTGCTCCGAATGACAACTTTTACCGGCTTCCTATCCTCGAATCGCAATTTTTACATCGGCCATCGACGACAGGACGACAATTATTAGCTGGCCGTCAACACGAAGGAAACGGAAAAATCCCGTAACTCGAAATTCAGGCTGGATCCTGGGCAGTTCATGTCAATAAGTCAATTGATACAATTGAATAGATTTATAACGAAAACTAGACTGGCCAATCTTCAATTATAATATAAAATAATACCAATCAAAAAATCTCCTGGATGAAATTATCAACTCCATTAAAGAAAACCAAAAATGATGTGTCTTCTAATAATCAGGTAATTATTCTGATTATCGCTTATTTAGGATGCCATCAGAATTTTTTGGGCAAGAAGAAAAGAGAAAACAAACTTTTTTAAAATTATTTTTACCAAATACAATCCTCTAAGTAATATTTCATCAACATGAAACAAGAAAAAAAAATCCATTTTATTTCTAACTTACTCTTACTGCAATAGGATTTGGACTGATAACTGATATTATTTAGATGGATTTAATGACAATTAGTAAATAAGAAATTCAATTTTTAGTGTGTGGATGAAGTGTTATTATTTTTTTATCAACATACAAAATGTTGGATTAAAGAAGTGAGTAAGTATAATTTATTTTCCCCTCGAAGCTTACTAAAGTATAGTAAAGTAAGTGTCATACGAGACAGCTTAACGTCCAACTACCTGAAGGATGTCGAGGGGTCAAACCGCGTTATAATATTGTTCTCATATTATTTTCAATTAAAAATCCATGGGCTATGTCAGGATTCGAACTAAGAACCGCTAGCGTGGGTACTAGTCAGACGTCCTAAACCCCTTCGTTCCCTAGAAGCTTGAAATTGTATTCTAATAAAACAAGAAATTTTTTTTCACGTAGATGGGTTGAAGAATTTCCGGACATTTTTTTCTACAATTGTTTAAACTATGTCTGTATATAGTCAGTTTATGTAGTGTAGGTATAGATTATCTTCAGCCATTAATAATAATTATTGTTAATCAGATGTTATTTAAAATGCTGCAGATGAAAATATATTCTAAATAAAAGATTTGAATTCCGTCACATAGCTTGAGGTAAATTCTGGACTTTTTTGCAACAATTGATCAAACTAATGTCGTACAAAGTCAGATTTTTCGTGTGTACGTGTGTATGTGTCGTTATATATTATCTCCATCCCTTACAATAATTATTATTGATCACATAGTATTTAAAATGCTTAAGATGAAAATATATTTTAAACTAAAGGTGTGAATTCCATCACGAAAAGGCTTCAAGCCCATTCCAGGACTTTTTCAGCAATTGTTAAAACTAATGATTTATGCAGTCAGTTTATTTTTATATTTTTATTTATTTTATTTTTGTTATGTTGGGTCTCTATTACCCTAATAATAATAATTATTATTAATCAGATGGCATTTAAAATGCTGAAGATGAAAATATATTCTAATTAAAAGAAGTGAATCAAGTCACGTAGAAGGCTGGAAGTATTTCTAGACTTTTTCTCAACATTTTTTTTTGTACACGTGTATGTGTAGGTGTAGATTATCTTCTCCTGATATCAATTATTATTAATATAGTACTTAGAATGCTTAAGATGAAAATAAATTCTAATTGAAAAAAGTGAATTCCCTCACCTAGATGGATTCAAGTCAATTTCTCGACTTTTTTATCGGTGGAACTATGCTATAATTATTGAAGCAATTGGTGCATGAAGTTAGTTTTTGCTGTGTACGTATGTTGTGTCGGTGCATATTTTTTCCATCCCCCGATAATTATTATTAAATAGTTCGTATTTAAATTGCTCGTGATCAAAACATATTTTAATAAAACAAGTGAATTCCGCCATGTTAGATAGCTTAAAATCAATTTTTGTATTTTTTCAGCAATCGTTCATGCTTGTGCTGTACAAAGTTAGTTTTTTTGTGTGTACGTCTGTATGAATGGGTATAGATTATTTTCCAACCAATAGTAATAACTATTATTAATCCGATGATTTTTAAAATGCTTAAGATGAAAAAACCTAAATAAAACAAGTTGATTCCGTTACCTAGAAGGCTGAAAGTCAATTTCTGGACATTTTTTTTCCAAAAGTGGTGAAACTATTGCTATATTTTACAATTTATTAGTTAAAATTTTTAAATTATTTGTGATATTTGTATGTGTATGGGTAGGCATAGATTATTTCCATCTCACAATAATAATAATAATTAATCAGATGATATTTAATATGCTTAGGAACCAAATATGTCCTTATAAAATAAGTGCATTCAACTTAGAAGGCTTGAAGTCAACTTAACGAACTTTTTCTTCTACAATAGTTCAAATTATTGCTGTATATAGTCAATTTTTTGTGTATTTGTATGTTTGTGTCGGTAAAGATATTTTCATCCCAAATAATAACTTTTATTAATGAGGGGTATTTACAATACATACGAAGAAAAAAAGTTCTAAATTAAACAAGTGAATTCCATCGTGTGAGATATCTTAAAGTCAATTTCTGCAAGTTTTTTTTTTCTAAAATTGTGGAACCTATTCCTGTAGATAGTAAGTTTTTTGTGTGTAAACGTGTGCATGTGTAGGTATTGATTATTTCCACCCCTGAATCCTGGTCATATCGTATTTAAAATGCTCGGGATCAAAATATATCTTTATGAAACAAATGGATTTTTTCTCGTAGAAGGTAACTTATACTCTTTTTGTACAATTGTTAAAACTATTACTACATTTTACAATTTATTTTTCAATATTTTTAAGTTAAACCGTGACGTTGAAGAAATTTTCAATCCATAATAATATATATAATTAATCAGATAAAATTTAAAATGCTTAGGGTCCAAAAATGAATCTGAATTCTTTTTGTACAAGAAGCAATTTATATACAGTTTGATAAACCAAAACCTAAATCACGGCATTGGCAAAATCTCTCTCTGCCGAACATCAAAATCTAATGTAACAAGTAAATTTCGACATATTTGTTTGTGTGTGTTTTACAGCTATTGCTAACCGGGACGAATAGTCTGTTTTTTGTTTGTTCTGTTTGTGTATGTATGTTTTTAATTTTTTCATGCCTGTAGAGGTTGGAATTCATCGGTTCTTCCTTATGTCTGAACACAATGAGAAATGAAGTCGCAACGTAAAACGCCATTTCACAAAAGATCGTATTACAAGAATAATTTATAAGAATTTTCTTTTTTTATATACGACGGCAATATCTTTCAAAATACAATACGGATGTAGTAAATTATTAATGTAATTTAAAGATCGTTAGATGCGGTCTGGTGTGATGTGGGGTAGAAAAACGTTTTCTTTAACTTGCCAGAGTTTCGATCTTTATTGTGATCATCTTCAGGGCCTGGGATTTATAAACACTGGTTAAATTATACAAATACATATATCATGTGAATATGAATTTATACGATGACGTACACAATCCCAGGCCCTGAAGATGATCTCATTAAAGATCGAAACGTTGGCACGATAAAGAAAATATGTTTTTCTTGCCTACAACATACCAGACTGCATCTCACGTTCTTTAAATAATAAAAGTCACTAAATATTACAAATTAATGTAATACTATGCAAGATTCCTGATGATGGGAGCAAATTCCCAAACGTCTAAAGTAAATGTTAAAAATAACGTTTTTACTTTATTATTATTTCCGTTTGAAGATTGGGATGCTCGGTCAGGTAGATATGGAATAAAAAGAAAAGAAAGCCCATGTTTTTAAGTATGCCTACGTTTCGTCAAATTTAATGACATCCTCAAGGCGGGTACTAATTTAGCTTTTCAGCCAATCTTACAAGTTTAAGTCTTAATCCATTATGTTTAGTGGTCTAATTGCCCAAATTTCTTCTTTCAATTAATTTTTTTAATGTAATGTCTTGGTTGAGATGAAAAAGTTAGTGTCACGAGCGGGATTCGAACCCACGACCCTCAGGGTGGGTTCGAATCCCTCTCCTGACACTAACTTTTCCATCTCAACCAAGATTTTAAGTTTTAAGTTTAAAACCCGTTTTGCCATAAGTCTGCTTTATTTCTTAAGTACGGACAATTAATCACATGCGGATACAGATTCAACCAAGGGCCGGCTGAAGATGTCAATAAATTTGACAAAACGTTGCCTACTTAGAAAAGTAGTTTTGCTTTTTTTTATTCCATATCTATCTGACCGAGCAACGAAATCTTCAAACAAATTTATACATAACGGCAATCTACTCAACATTTATTATTATAAAAAAAACAAAAAAACATGAAAATGGTATTAACCAAGAAAAAAAGGATAATTTTATAAGAACATAAGAGCCAATATTGAATGAGCGTCCAACCAGTGCTAATATCGAATGGAGCCGAATATTATTAAATTGGACTTTTTGCAGACAGTTCCGCGATTCATTTTCACAAATTCAACCCCCTTCGGTTTATTCCACGACGGATATATTTTTTTTTCTTCTGGTACTTCTAATCGCCAAAGACTTACGGGTTTTGTAATCTGGTGGTGGTTGGTGTAAAGTGGTCCGCTGGGGACTCTGGTGCTTACGTCTGTCAACATTTTCCGTTGTTAGTCGTCGGCTGGGACCATGGTCTGACTTGCACGGGATCACTTCACAGACTGTGTTGGACCTGGTGGTTTTGGTGGGGGGGAGGAAGAGATCTGAAGGGTGCCGGCCGGCGAACGGCGGGGGGCTGGTGGCCCGTGGGCGTGGCCTGCCTTGGCCAATGGGAGGACGCGGGCCGGCCACGCCCACTTCGCTTCTCCTTCAATCCTCGGCAGGACTATCCCCCCTCCAGGTCGTTCACGTCTGCCAACTCCTCAGTCTCGCCTCACACTCATTCTTGTCAGTTCCTCTTCAAAACTCATTTACATTCAATTCCATTTGAAGGACTTTTCCCCTCAAGTGTCCTTTCTTAATCTTCTGTTATTTGACTTACTGATAACTTCAGTATCATTTCTTCCAGACATTTTTATTAAATATTATTAGGCCATTGGCCGGCAAGGCGTCCTATTTTCATTCACGCCAATAAATGCATTCAAACAGTCTTGTGCCAAAGACCTTAATTTTTCAATAGTGGAGCCGGTCATTTACATTTCTTTGACAATAGAACTCAAGCATTTTCCTATCTGTATTTCTTATATGTACATTGTGTAAGTCGTTCATTCCAAAGGAAGTAATGCTTACGACAAAATTCTATAAGTTTTAGCAAAATTACTACTATCATAAACGTGAACAAATTCTGTCAGACACACTACCTAGCATTGCCTGGTAACCTAGGCAAAAGGCAAACGTCTAGATTTTGCAATGATAAATCCTGCAATTCAAAAGTTAAATAATACGACAAAATTCTAATAACTTTAGCATCAACTTCAAATACAATTGAGGCTTTTTTGTTTTGTTTTTGAACTATTTTACAAGCCAAAACAACGAAAAACCAGTTGAACTAAATCTGAACAACAAAACTTAAATCATATGACCGTGCCTTAACAAAACCTGTTCGTTAGTCAAAGAAATTTCGTTTGGATAATAGGTGGATGAACGACTAGAATGAATACAGATGAACAACAGACGACGAAGAATTGGTAGGTGTACAAAGGAAGGGTTTTTAGAACCAACAAGTCCATTTTCACGAATGAGACAATGATGGAGTCTTTAATAGATTCAGAATGTCGACAAAAAAGTTCTCTGACTTATTTGAGGAAAGAAAAATTAAGGAAAAAGAACAAACACAAAAATACTAAGTAAACAGTTGAACGGTGGTCCCTTAGATGGTGCAACGGCCCCTTCTCGGAACTTGGTTCAAATTATGAATGACGTTCCAGTGAACACGGTTTTAACAGTGCCTGGTGCAACGGGCCCTAATTGTTTCAACAGGTCTGTGGGTACTTGTTATTCCACCATAGATCCTGTCCGCACTTAATCATTCACGCAAATAAATACATTCATATAATCGGTTAGTCAGCTCGTTTTGATACTACACCAGCGAATTCCTTTATTACTATACAAACAAGTAAAAATATTGGGCTAGTACAAACATAATGTATGTTTTGAAAAGGCAGTCCAAACTGTTTTTAAATTGTATAAAATAAAGAAAATTTATTCGAAATAATGTCCATCAAAGCTACACATCTCTGCAGGTGTGTAATAAGCGCTTTTATTCCGCTGACATAAAAATCTCTATTTCGACTCACAATAAAGTCTTGGAAGGCGAGTTCGGCTTTACCGCGTTCTCTAAAAATTGTATCCCTCACGAACTGATCAAAATGTCAAAAAAAAGTGTAAGTGTGTATCGAGTGATCGGATGAATATGGAGGGTGTGGTAAGGTCCTAAGTCCGTAAGTTTCCGCAGGGTATTGCGACAAGTGGCCTGGCGTTATCCTGCAGAAGAATCGGCCCATTACGGTTTACCAATGCTGGACAAAGACGTTGCAGTTTCCCGTGCATTTCTTGGCAATATCTCTCCGCTGTGATAGTTTCACCATAATTCCGGAAATTATAGTGAACAACCCCAGTAGTACACCTCCATATAGTCACCATAACCTTTTTCGGGTGCAGATTTGATTCCGGGAAGTGTTATGGCGCTTTATCCTTGTCCACACTGACCTGTACGCCTCCTGTTATAGTACAGAATCCGTTTCTCATCGCGCGATGATGATTCGATGGAGAAATGGATCATTTTGGTGGCACGACAGAGGAGACAACTTTCAAAGCGACGGTTTCTTTGGGCTTCGGTTAGTTAGTGCGGTACTTGTCCAGCTTCTTTACTTTACCGATTTGCTCAACGTTTGAGTGTCAACACTAAGCTCTTCCGCAATTTCCCGTGTTGTCTTATATGAATTTTCTTCAATCAACGTTCTGAATTCCACAATGGAAGGCCTACCACGACCTTCACTCTCTTCGAGATCAAAATCTCCAAGACGAAATCTCTGAAACCATCGCTGCACCGTGCATTCGCTAATGCTTCCCTCCCCCAAACTGTAATGATGTTATGCGCGGTTTGTTTAAATTTTAAATTCGTACCAATAAATTTGAAGAATCTCTAGTTTGGACATATTTAATTTCGCAGATCGTCACTCTTATAAAATTCAATATAAACTAAAATCCATTATATTTCGTGGTCCGATTGACCAAATAACTTCTTTCAATTAATTAATCTTTATGTAAGGTATTGGTTTAAATGATAAAAGTCAGTCGAAGGAAGGCCCGTGGGTTCGTATCCCGCTCGTGACTCTAACTTTTATCATTTCAACCAATACCTTACATAAAGATTAATTAATTAACTAAAATGTTTTGTGTAAAAGAAAACAGTTAAAAGTATTTATTGTAATCCGTAAATTAGATTTGAGGATTTAGCCTTGTTTACATGATAAGCACCTGCAAAAATAAAACAAATTTTCAAAAACTATTAATTTTGCACCAACCGAATAAATAACGTAGACTATTTTGGTGTCCCTAGAGTCATCACACCCAAACATACTCACGATAATAAATACATTTTCTCAAAATAAGAATTATTATTTATTGTATTATTTATTAATATTTCAACAAACGCAAAACAAGGCTCCTTACATGCGACCAAATCATATTATTTGCTTCAGTTATCGAATCAACTTCTTGTTATAATCACTATCGTATTTTAAAAGTTTTTAAAAGTTGCTGAAGTGTTACATTTAAATAAAATTTATATAAAACAAAATAAGTAGTTTAGTTTGGGGTATCTGTGAGTACTCTTATCACAAATACATTCACGCTAATAAATACATTTGCTTAAAGTAAGAATATTTTTTCAACCTTCATACGAAATGCGACCATCATGTTTATCAATTAATTGTTTCCGTTATCGAATCAACTTCCTACTGTAAAATTTATAAGTTTTTAAAAGTTGTTAAAGTATTTATTGCTCTTTATCCAAAAAGTGTGGTGATTAGTGACCGTTAATCGATATTTATTTAGAAATCGTGAGATGCGGTCTGGTGTGATGTAGGTTCAGAAAAACATTTTCTTTGTCGTGCCAACGTTTCGATCTTTATTGAGATCATCGAAATCCCAGGCCCTGAAGATGATCTCAATAAAGATCGAAACGTTGGCACGATAAAGAAAATGTTTTTCTGAAACCTACATCACACCAGACCGCATCTCACGTTTCTAAATATTTATCCAAAATGTATATCTTATGATAAGATATCTGTGAATGAAATATAAAGTATTTTCTTCTTCTCTATCGACCCTGAACCCATTTGCTACATATCAAATGGGCAGAAAACGATACATCAGACAATGGGTTAAGGCTCTTCGGCTCAATTGGAATATATTCAAGGACAGAGGCATGCGAAAACGTCATAGGACCATCGCAGGAACTAACGGCAGAACTACTAACTACTAAACATAGGATGCTTTAGGACTAGAATAATACTGCTGACAGGAAGCGGCAGACTCCGGAGGCATCAGTGTAGACTCGAAGCAGTACAATTGTAGATATTGCCAGGAAGAGGAAGAAGCATCAGGACAGTGGAAGGAAATGCCTGAAGGATACACACGGAAGCCCTTAACAAAGTTTTGGTATACGATAAAAAACATTAAGCCTAACAAAGAGCTCTAGATAATAATGGAGATTTCACAATAAACCAATACAGGTCGTGGCGCGTAAGGTCTTAAAGAGTCTGACTTTCAACCTCTAACTTTTCGTCTTTGCACAGAGGTACAATTTTATTTGCTCATGTAAAGTACTTCTCAAATTATATACCTGAAGATTATTTTTTATATTATGCTTTTAAATTTAGCTCGGTTGGATCAAGTTTCTTTGGGTTCTAGAGGAAGAACTACAGGAAAAAACGTTCGGAGGAGCCGCTCCCTAAGTTAAAGATAAGCTAAACAATTGTTGCTAATCTTCTTATTACTTATTCCGTCGCTAATTTCAGTATCGTACAACTTATTTGTCATTATTTGCAAATTTCGACATAGTCAAGCAGCTGATAATGGGCAATTGTATTAAGCACTTATCAAGCCCGGAGTGTTTTAACAGCACGGTTCATGGCTTTTACTAATAACTTGCTGAAGACTGGTATAAACACAAAGTAAAGCCTAATTGTAAGTTTTCGTCTTTCATTGATTAACAGTATTTTATGATTTATGATGATGACAAGGGCTACAACTATTAAAACTGATCGTTAATGTTTATTTTTCAATTTGTTTATTCTAGAACCTGTAGATGGGCTTTTAGACCGCGTCCGGAGGTCGTGGACATCCGGTCTTCACCCCATCGAGGATCCCCCCTCCGATAAAACCCGATGTTAAAAGGGATGAATTATTACGGAATATTCCCTCCGGCCGTGTCCCGGGGATGAAAGATGGCCGGAGGCTCCTGACATGGTCCGCCTCGAGATCGTGCAGAGCCGAGACACGCACTCTCCATCAAACGAAGAGCAACGCGGCAACACGTGGTACCTTGTACGCTGTAATTACCCTGTACACTTGAACTTATTCTCGGAACGTTCAAATGTCCGCGAAACGTCAAAAGTAGGCAGAAATCATTCGGTGTAAAACCAGTCTAGTCAAAGATTCCGATGAACTTGAAGCAGTGAAATTTTGTAATGGGAGTACAAGAATGACACGCATATCATGGATGATAAAACCTGATAATTGCTTTATTTACCTGGAGCT